CCATATCTAATCTATTGCCAAGTGATGTCAGTTCTGCATTTCTACTGCTACTAGTTTAAGCCTTCTTGCTTCACTCATCAGGACTACTGCGCTGACCCACTAATCTGTTTCTGTTCTTGCCTCCTACAGTCAGTTCCCCACAGCCACATGAGCTTAAAATATGGAAACTATATTTACATAATTGCTACTTAAATTCTTCTTGGCTTTCCCTGTGGTGGCCTCCACGGCCCTTCGTCTTCAGGCCCACCTCCCTTTTCAACTGTACCTGCTTCACGTCATAATCTTACTCTGCTTCACCTTACACTGGCCTCCCTCTGTTCCTCCATAATTCCAAACTCTTTCTCACATCAGGCTTGTGCAAGCTTGTTTCTTCTGCCTGGAATATTTTCTTAGGTTCATCGTCGCTGGCTGGAAGCTTCTTATCTCTCACTCTGAGTTCTTTAGAGGGGCCTTCTTTGATGATTCTAGTTAAATTAGTTTCCCATTTCATCTCAGTTTTATCACCGTGTTAATTTCCTTTATGGCAGTTATCACAATCTGATTGTCTTGTTTATTTTTTGCATACTTGTCTCCTTCCCCACTAGAATGTAAGCCCCTTGAAAGCAGGGACTTTTTCTTGTTCATTCCTAGGTCCCCAGAATGCACAACAGTTCCTGACCCATAACAGGTGCTTAATAAAAATGTGTTGAATGAAGAATAGACCTCAAGTAATTTACCATTCATACAATTTTTTCCTGTTAGGATGGAAGAGTTGTAATTTTATGGTTCTTCTACCCCCAGTGCTTCCTTTATCCCTGTATAATAATTTCTAGGAACTTGGACTTTTGTTTCACTTCCAAAAAGGAATGAGCTTCTGGTAGTATTTAACTGTTGCTGAGAAACTAAACCAAGATGTAAAAACAGAACTAGATCAGGCCATTCATACATTTAATTGGAACAGAAATACCATAGAAGAATAAGAAAAACACGTTGACTGAATTTTATAATCTATTTTATTGGGAAAAATGATTCCTCCTAAAATTGCTATGGAGGGATTATCTACCATCATCCTAAATATGTACATTATGGCCCATGAGTAGTATCAACTAAACACTTAGAAAAGTTGAATAACCAAATACTTGCGTAATTGGAGTATGGTTCTTTACTTTCAGAGATAGGTAGAAAAATCCTAAATACCAGGATGTCTCAAGTATAAGTTTACAGGTTTATGTTTCTGTTTTTGGTCCATTGTATTTAGAAGTGGACCCACCTATGCACTGTAAAAATAACCTACTTTCAAATTAATGAATTCACTTTTGAAAATTTTAGGTCCACACACTCAGTAATGAGCCAGATGGGTCTCACTCCCAAATATAATATGTGGTTTGGGAATATCAAGAAGTAAATTCATTAAACTTAATCTAATCTATGCATGTATTGACTAGTTTAGTAATTTCAAATAATCCTTTGCTTCTTGCAGTTGATGTCCATGTTGAAGAGTGAAGTTTGAATTTCACAAATATGCAATAATTTATACCTTTCCTGCAGCATATCCTGAGCCTATAAGCTGTAGTAAGGTATTACTCAAGTCAACAAACGGTTATCCTTTATTAAGGACAAAATAGCCTCTTGATTTGTAAATTTGCTGATAGTTATATGCTTGACTTTAAAGCAGATATTGTAAAATAGACATACCCACAGTATTCTTTGTCAAATACAGGTTTAAGCTAAATTAAAGCTGCTGGCAACGTTTCTGTATTTTAATGTATACGTGAGAAAGATTGTTCTCTGCTTGATGGAATTCCAACTCACTGTAAGCCTTCATACTCTCCTCTTATATTTCTTAAGGCTGCTTGCATAACATTGAAAATATATTCAAATTAGTGGATATCTTAAACTAATTCAGCTAACCAGACAGGGATTATAGATTTCACATAATTGTGGCGTGCTTTAAACATGTCATTATATTGCTGATAAACCCTAAGAGCAGAACCAGAAAAGAGCTGCCTAAATAAATCTGTTATTGTTTAAAAAGCAGAGATAGTTTCTAGCCATCAGAATTCGCTGTCATGATATAAAAAGTTGCTCTGGTGTATTCCTCATACCAGACTGAAATGTCACATTTTTTAAGAAGTCTATGTTCATACCACTGTTTCTCAGTTCCAGGAGCACACTACGGACTAAGCTTCAACTTAAAAACATCTTTGTGGAATTCATTAGTCAGGTTGTCATATGGTTTAATTTGAATAATCCTTGCTTTCTTAAAACCCAACTCTCTGAATGGTGAACATATTAAACATAAAACTCTTCATTGGTCCACATGTTCAAAAGCATTTGGTTATTTATTTCTACATGAGAATATCTTGGTTATTTCTTTTTTTTTAATAGCAAGATATTCTCATGTAGAAGTAAAAAGCCAAATGCTTTTCTGGGTCCAAGACTTCAGAAATAGGAGTTCAGCCTGTTTGAAAGCTGCTTGGTCCATATTGATTGATGTATCTAGGTTAGAATTTTTCTAGTGAGACACCATAATAGAATCCCAAAACTTTTCTGCCTGTCGTGACCAGTAAGAAACATCCACTAAAACAACAACAAAATTATTTGCTGCTACTTTCTGCAGCCTTTGCTATGACACATCTTCACTCTGGGGTCTGGGCACTAGCGGTTTGGGTTTTATTTTTAGTGTGAGTTCATGCAATGGTAGGTAGGAATTTATTTTCCCCCCTCAAGGGTATTAAATTAACCATGGTCTTGAAATAGGTGGTAGGCATTATTCATACCAAGAATTATTAGTGTCCATGTTAAATGACATGGACTTAATTAACATTTAACTGAAATATTTTGAGTTAAATGAAACAAGTCAAAACACTTCAAAGTAGAAAATTAAATAAAATGACCTTTAAAAATAATGTGAATTGCCACAGTCTGATGAAGCAGAATTTTGTTACCTGTGGTAACTGGACTTACACTACTATATGCATTATAAATGTCTAGTAACTGAGTTTTCAATAAGACAGTCTTCTCTCTCTGACAGTGTAAGAAAGGATTATTTAAGCAAAGCTATACAAAGCTATTTTCTTGGAAATCCAGTCAAGATGGTGGAATAGACGGTCCCCAGTGCTACTCTCTCCCACAAATCAACCAATTTATGACTATAAAAAAGCAATGACAGCCACGCTGGGGCTGCTAGTACTCAGGGGAAGAGGAGGAGAGACCTATGGAGTGTATGAAGGTGGGAGAAGCCATGATGAGAGAAAGAAATAACCACTCCAACCATTTCAAATCCCGGCTGTTTATAGGCCGAAGCTGCTGAGTGCATGGAGCAGGAGCTGGCAAAAGCTGCAGCTGTGCCTTTCGGATGAAGTTGCTTGGAGGCGGCAGGGGCGAAGAGGGCCTTGGTGGCCCCTCAGGCCAGCAAGACCACTAACAGGGTTCCCGTGGACCCACATAGGAGCAAGAAGCCACAACAACTGAAAAAAAAGGAATCACTCAGAGGTCTGTGAGTCATCGCAAGGGACCAGAGTATGGCCCGTCCCATGAGAAGTGTCTATAACACAGGCAGTGAGGAGACAGGCCCACTGGGGGCACACTGGGGCACAGCAGACAGCTGCTCTGCCCCCCAATCAGCATAGGACCACTCAGAGGAGACTGGTCAGGAATATATAATTGCATGGGGTGCAGTTTGATGAAAAGACATGCCCAGACCAGTGTTTCTACACAACCCAGGTGCACCAGATTTCACTAGAACCGGAAGTACCCATAAAGCCAACCATTAAAACCTGAGCTGCACAAAAAGCCTTCCCTAGGGAATCAGCAGCAAAGCAGCAGTTTAGCTCAACCACAGAGCTCAAGTCCTGGTCCTCACAGGAAGCTCCCCCATTTTAGAAGTAAGCAAAGGACAGCAAATTAGTTCCAGCACAGAGTTTGAGTGGTGGAAGCAGCAAATAATCCAACACAGAACTGAAAGAAAAAACAAAGTACCCACAACCAGAGACAAAGTTTCAAATAATCCAACACAGAACTGAAAGAAAAAACAAAGTACCCACAACCAGAGACAAAGTTTGATATTAACTAGTAAAGAACTCATTTCACCAAAGAACACCTATAATACCTAGAAAGACCAGAAGTCCCCTGGGCTACCAAACTAGAAAGGGGGAAGGGCAGGGGGCCTCAGCCATGCCCCCCGACACCCACAACCAGTCCTGAGGGTGGGGGCTGATGGTCTCAGTCACACCCCTCTGACAAGTGCAATGACCACCAAGTAGCTGCAGGAAGTGCCCTAGGCTCTCCTGAGCCAGGGTGGAGGGGGGCCTTGGGCCTCGGTCACACCCTCCCATATGAGCAACCAGTCCAGCAACAACCACTGAGCTACCACAGGAAGCACCCTGGGCTCTACTGAGCTGAGGTGGTGGGGGGCCGAGGGCCTTGGCCATGGCCCCCAACACCTGTAGCCAGCCCAGTGATAATCACCAAGCTGCAGCAAGAAGGGCCCTGGGTTTCTGAGCTGGGGAGGTGGGAGGCGAGGGCTTTTGCCACAACCCCTGATAGCTGCACCCAGCCCCACAATGATGAAGCCACTGCTGGAAGCCCCCCAGTTTCTCCTGTGGGAATGTGGGGGTTGCCACAGTCCTCAATCCTGTCCCTCCTCCTTCCTCCTCCTTCCTTTACATTTCCTTCCCCTTTCCCCTCTCCCCCTTCCTCCAAACTGCTCTGCAACATCATAGAATGTAAAAAAATAATACTAATAAAGAATTTTTTTAAAAAAGCGATTTTCTTTACAATGAAAGGTGAAAAATGGGTATGATGATATTTAACTAAAGCCAATTTCAAGCTTTACACATAGGTAAAAGTACAGCTATACAGGTAAAGTCATCATTGTGATTCTTCCTGACTGTAGGACTTTGAATGTTTGTTACTCAGAGGGACAATATTTGAGGACTCAGACCATGATGAGAACTAGCTCCACAAATAGAAAGCAATATTAAACAAATTTGACAGTTAAAGAAATGCAGGCCATGAACTATTTTTTGTTTTTGTTTTTAATATCTATATAAAAAATAACGAGCGATTTACAGATCTCTTTCTCTAATCAGAACCTCAAGTGTATATATATAAAGGTACTGTACAATATATAAACATTTACAACCAGTACATCCATATTTTGCTCAGCATTCCAAGGCCACATTGCTAAGTCAGTATATAATCAGTACAGTGACAGGTTACTTAGAAAGGAAGAGCCACATCGGACTGATAACATATGTCATCAAAGTTGTGTCACAGTTAACGATAAAAATAGGATTTGTATCACTAATTGTGGACTATAGGGAAAATAAATCATTTCTGTGGTACTAAATTGTTAGCATTTATCAAGCCTCCTAATTATGCTCTATTCAAGTAGTTACAATAGGTGGATAAATATAGTTCTTGATGAAAAGGGGATTATTTCAAAAATCTCACTCTGGGAAGCATGTTTTATCTACAGGGACTGACACAGTTGTTATTTTAAAGAATTTCACAGTCAGACTCTTAGAGGGAAGGACATGGACATAATGTGTTCCACAATAAGATGAACCCAGGGTGACAGAACAAGTATGTTCAAATACTCCATAAAATAGTTTTATTCTGAGAATGTGCCTTTATTTATAGATGCTACTATAATGCTGTTTCAGGGGACTGAAAAACCTGGATCTATTTTACGGAGTTAAAAACTATCTCCAACTTTCAACAAACATCTTTAATTAGATTTTTTAAAAGAACTCTGAAAATTTGTACAAGCCAAGTGAATGTTGAGTCTCCCTTTCTTGTTTTTAAATAACTTAATGTAGCTCAAAATTAAAATTAAATAAGATTCAGCAAGTACTGTCTACCATATGTATCCTTACTTGCTGTGCAAGCCTCGCACAGGTTCTGCTTCTAAACACCCGAACTTGTACATGTGCTACCAGATGAGTTGGTACTTTATCTGGCAATGGACTGTGAAACTGGTTTCATGATTAGGTCCCCCACACAATTCACATATTTTGATTCTTCAAATATGTATTACGTATTAAAGACTAATGACTTTCGTAGTAGGTACAACCAAAATATCCAGAAATAGATAGTTGGTAGTTTTTCTTCAGAGAATAAGCAATATGTCCGTATGCTTATATGTAGTTTCATAATGAAACAGATGAAAAACAAAGGGTGACCTGAGATGCTATAACTATATCATGGTTGGATAACACAGCAGGAGGGGAACTCTATTGCTTAAGGAACTTTCTCATTTGAACATTCAATTGTAAGTAATATCTTCAACAGTTATTTGAAATACTTTATCCAGCCAAATTAAAATAAAAAGCCATAAGGAAGTGTCAATGTTTGACATTTTTTTTCCTGTAGTGATTTTTGGGGGGTTTTATTTTGAAATTGGGACATCATCAGTAGCTGTTAGAAGAAGCAACAGCCATCTTTAATGGAGAGTTAAAAATCTCTTCTGCAAGGACTCAAATATTTCTCTCTGTAAACATGCAACATGCTATTGAGAACATCAACTTCCAAGCCAAACCTAACTTTTTCATTACTGTGGAAATATCTGAATGAGAAGGATAAAACAGATATGATGCAGTAGATAACTCAGCACAAATACAAAGTGAGTTGTGACCACATCATTAATACCAACATGTCATTTATTCAGACACTCGTGAAGATGGGCTGGGCAGCCTGAGCAGGGCATGTCAGATGAGCAGGTGGATGCAGCTCCTTCCTGAGTGTGAGGGAGGGCAGCCAGCCAGGGGGACAATTCTCAGCAATCCTAAAGGCCCTTCATGCAGCCTAGGTAACTTGATGCTCGAATTAAAATGTACTTAATGTGTTTCAGAATTTCTGGGAAAAAATTTTTAATGCTGCTTTTTTAATAAGAAAAAATTACAACTTGTTTTTCTTTGTTTTATGTTAAAGGTCACAGCCATTTTTCAGCCACACCAGTAGTGCCTTTGACTTTATTTGCATTTGGCACCTTCCAGGGCCCTGGAGTTATTGGTGTTTTCTTAACTGGAGAACTACTTTCAGGTTTGAACTCTCCACGCTCTTTGTTTTTCTCAGCTGCTTCTAGTTCTTTACCTTTGTGATCTTCTATTTTGTTTAAAACCATCCTCTCTTCAGGTTCCTGCTTCAGCTTCTTTTCTGATATTTGGACATTTTCTCCCATTTTATCTTTACTAGAACTTGTTTCTCCTATTGTTACTTTCTTTCCTTTTTCATTTTCAAACACTACTCTACTAGTAGTGTTATTAGTCTTTTTGGATGGAAGAGACTTTTCATCCATTCTCTTGCTTTTTTTCTCTGGAGACCTTGTTCTGCTTTTTCCCAGCTGACTCTGCTTTGTATCTTTCCTGATGACACCTGATTTTTCTTTCCCATCTGGGATCTGTTCAGCATTGTCACTAGCATGGCCTGTAACTTTTCGACTTTCACCTTCTAATAATTTGGCTTCAGCATTTGACTGGTCTTTGCTTCCTTCAATTTTCTGCTGCTTCTTTGGGCTAGAAGACCGTCCTCTGCTTTTTCTGCAATGATCTTGTCCAGACCCTGCCCTGTTGCTGATTTGACTACTTTTGTTCTCTCCTTTCCTGGGGCTGAGCGATCGATCTCTGGGTCTTCTTTTGGGATCATTTTTTAGAGGACTAGGAATCTTTTCCAAATGTTCCTCTGAAAATCGACTGGCTGACTTTTGGGGACTAGTAGATCTTCCTCTTTGTGTAACACCACTTCCTACTTTTAATAGATTTTTCTTGTCACTGTATCCGTGACTTTTGGGTGAATCCCTCTTATTCACATTTTTCTGGAGAAGAGACTGCTCCTTTACCTCAGACTGATTTTCATTTAAAGTGCTTTTCTTTTCAGGCACAATGTCCTTTAATTCTTCTGCCTTTTCACATATCTGAACTCTCATTAAAGATTCTTCGATTACTGGCACATGAGACTCTCCAAATATGAAAGCAGAATGTGAAGATGGGGGAAATGGTGACTGTTCATCATAAATCACATTTGAAGATGAAGGATTATTAATATCCCAATCACCTAAAAAAGTTATTTGAGTGGAACATTATTACATTTTACAATTACATGTAGGAACTATACATTTTGAGCTTTGACAGCCACTTGAATTATACTGACTGCTTAAATAGCCAAAGTATGAGTATTTTATATAGTTTTATATGTTTGCATCTTTCTCTGTAAAGGCAGATGTGTACAGACATCTGTTGTACATAAAGGGTAGATTGTTTATATACATAAAATAACAGTATTCATTTTTACAATTATGTATAATTAGTGAAATACTATATGATCTGTAAATTCTTTATTATTAAAGCCCAATCAGAAATCTGTAAGAAAGTAATAATAAAACTGGACCAAATTATGTGGTCAAAAAGCTTACTAATTAAGTAATTATGAACAGATATGGCTTAAAGATATGCCAAAATCACTAATTAATAAAGGAAACCAAACTATGGTAACCGGAATGAGGTTCATGAGCATTTTAAAATAATTTTCTTGCATTAAGCTGTCAAACTTAATGTCAAAAGTAGACTGAAAAGTGCAGAAGAATAGAAATAAATAGCATCATTTTTAATTAAAAAGAAAACAAAAGAAGAAAGTGATATACAAGACATGCAAATTTACCAAGTCTTTTTAAGGAAAGACCAAGAAAAGCCCTGAAAGCCTTAATGTTGCTCAGGTTTCACGTAGGAGCACAGACCGGAAGGAGCCAAACCTGAAGAAGGAAGAGAAAAAGCCTAGGACTATGTGGAAAAAAATCAGTGCAAAGATGTCACGGGGAATGTATGATTTACAAGCAGATGATGGAAGATAATACAGTCAGAGAATCATAAGCTGGAAGGGGACTGTAGGAGGTTATGTTTACACTTATCCTTCAAAAGCTTTGTGGTGGGGATTGGGGGGAGAAGAACTAGAGGAGACAAGGACTAAGTGGGTATAATACTGCCTTTATTTCTAGAATAGTGCATTCAATTAAAAAATAATTAGTGTTTTTCAAATACTGTGATATTTCAAAAACGTACAATGAAACCAAGGAAGCTTAAGATCAGTACAGGAGTACAGACGTGGTCTCAGGTCCAACTCCTTGTCTCCATGTAGGGCAATAGCAACTTGTTTTTGACAAGTGATCAGAAAAGCCTAAAGTTCCTATGCTACTTGCTAACTGAGAGATAAACTTAACCTACTATAAGGAAATAAATAACATTTGTTGGTAATGTATAATTAGCTAAGGAGGGGAGAAAGCTGGGAGATTCTGAAGAGATTTAAAATGTTTTTCATGATATTCAGATCGTTTTCCTCCAATGTCTTTATTGATTTGTTTATTTTGGCAGCTGGCCAGTACAGGGATTGAACCCTGGACCTTGGCATTAGTGCCATGCTCTAACCAACTGAGCTAACTAGCCAGCCCTTGATGTCCTTATTTTTTACAGGCACATTTCTCTACAAAAGCAACTCTATGTTTTCTGATGAAACCAGTTTAAAATATATGCTATTCCAAAAGTTCTGTTGAAGTCACTTATTTTGTAATACTAGTTATAATTGCTCTGCTCTTTAACTAGCTTTTAATGGTTTTGGGTGTTCACCTCTGAATTAGCTAGTAAAATATCTATCCCCATCCAAATAGATATTCCTTTTCCTTCTGCTGCCCCCTCCCTAATGAACTCACAACCTTTCAGCTACCAATGGGGTACTTTACTTACCATGGTCAGGTATCAAGCCAGTTCCCGGCCTTAAAAGAAGAAGAACTTTATTTCCACCGGCCTGAATGAGCTCAATTGCTCGAGTATGTGTGATGCCTTGTGTAGGTTCCCCATTTATTTCAACAATCTGGTCACCAACCTAGACAAAAGACATTCACATGAACAACATGAAAGTACGCATCCTTCTTCAATTCTGCTTTTGTCAACTCTGGAGCCGTTCCAGTTTTGCTAAGTGATTTTCTTTCATTTGTAAAATATTTAAATTGTACATAGTGCTATCATGCTAGAGTTGATAAGTGGACAGATGGTAGCAGTAGGAAGAGACAATGCCCAGTTTTATTTACTGTATAAAAATCCTACATGGGAAATTTTTATATATGGCTAGTAAGTCAGGATCTGGGCATCTTGAAATCAAGGATCAAATTCTAAGTTTTCCACCAAAATTTAAGCAGTGGGAGAGGTGAAGTGAAGAGGTTAAGTTTCAGCAATCCAAATGATATCACAGAGCTGTATCTGAATGATCAATCTATGACGGGTACTTTCAAGTTTGAGCTGAATCTTGAATTTATTTCCTAAAACCTGGGCAGGTGGCTCCTCATCTTTGAAGCCTTTTTGGCCTCCAGGGAGAACTGCCTACTTCTTTGTGCTGCCAACATATCCTGTACATTTATGAGGCATTAGATAAATGACATATTTATAGATTAAAATTTGAAAATAATTAAGCTTGGAGAATAGATTAATATAAACACTTATTTAAAACTAATAACTGGGTTTTAAGATGGCGACAGGTCTGGAGCGGCCGTGCCAGGAGACAGCGCGACCCTAAGAAGTGTGCGCTGTGATACCAGAGTACTATTTGCATTTCCAAGAGCAACAAAAAACGAATAAATCTTTCAACAACGAACCTACAACGACAAACAAGCAACAACAGGTTCGAGGTTTTAGGGCCGACACAAAAGAAGACTCCTGAGAGCGCCCAAGCCCTGCTGCGGGTTCGAG